TAAATATATATTTATTTAATAATATATAAAAATTATATAAAAATAATAAAAAAAATTATATCTATTTCAACTCCCAAGTATTAACAGTTATCCCACGTAAAGTAATTATTATAATTTTATTGTGATGTGATATGTGTAGCTGCTACTCAACTATCTCATTGCCGCGGTACAGACGACTCCGACGTCACTGTCTCCCTTCTTACACGACAACTCCAATCCCTATAAATTAAGCGCTCAACAAAATCATTAAATTCTCGTACAAATTCCAATTTCTTCAACCGAGAAGCGGAGAACTCGATCGTCATCGGAGCGGAAAGGGTCATCGGAGGCAAAATGAAGGGAAGAACGGAGATGGAAGTCGGTGCCGACGGTGTTGCTGTGATCACCATCATCAACCCTCCCGTCAATTCTCTCTCCTTGGACGGTATCATTTTCCGGATCTTGTTTGCTTTTTCCATTTTTCTTGCTGTTTTACTCGATTCATTGTGGTTTCTCGAATCCGGCGAAGAAATGCTTTCTTTGTTATGGCGGTAGTGAGCTAATGATTAGTGAAGTGAAGTGTGCTTGCGAATTGCGATCTACTGTTTCAATTATGATTTGTTTGGGTGTGAATTCTCTGAGTTTAATGGTCGTTGATTAGAATGATATGTAGGTTTGCAGGGATGTAATCTGGTTTTGAAGTAAATTTACGTTTTGGCATACAATTAATTCGCCATAGATGATAATTGCAGAACCAGTTCTCGTTGAAAATTTCAAGTCAGGCTGATTTCCTAATTTTCACTGTGCTGTTTGTAATTTTTTTGCTTTTGTATGCTGAATCAGATTGTGAAGCATAGCAATTTCATAAAGGAATGTTTCTACTTTACCAAAATGATCAGTAGTGTTGGTAATGCTAGAAAAATGAATGTTGGGATGGATTTAGGTTGAAAGTTGGGAAAGTGTAAATTTTATCTGAGCGTGTAGTTGGAATTTCAGGCGAATTTTAGACCAGTATGATATTGAAAGCCATCTCCCTTGCTTCTATGATTTTCCATTTTTTGATGATTGCCAGGACATCATTTGGGTTACTTGAGAACCGGCCTTTATTTTTTTGGTTAAATAAATTTTGTGATGGTTCTGATAGAATTTCTAGCTAATCTATCTCTTGCTACCTCAGTATTACAGAGCTTGAAAGAAAACTATGAGCAGGCCTTGCTCAGGGATGATGTGAAGGCCATTGTTGTTACAGGTATGAGTAGGGGGAAAAATATATGAGGAATTATTCATTGGTTGTCAATCATTAGGAATGAATGGTGTGATTCTAAATTGCTAAATGTGGATTTTAAATGAGCAGGTGCAAATGGAAAATTTTCTGGGGGTTTTGATATTTCAGCTTTTGGCGGGCTTCATGGAGGAAAGGGTATGTTAACTGGTTGATCTATTCTATATTCAAAATTGAAATTCCACATCACCTCCTTGTCAATAAATTCTGTTATATTTTTGTAGTTGAGCAACCGAAGCCTGGCTTTATATCAGTAGAGGTCATCACTGACACCTTTGAAGGTAATTATGTAGGTTTCATTTTAGATTCTGCAGAAGTTGGATGGATCTATTTTTGACTTCTTAACTTTGTACTTCAGCTGCAAGAAAACCTTCAGTTGCTGCTATTGATGGTTTGGCCTTAGGTGGGGGTCTGGAAGTTGCCATGGTAGGTGTTATCATATTTCTTTGGATGATCTCATGTTTTGCTGATTAAGGGGAAAAGATTTCATGCTGTTGCTCTTGCTCTTCCAGGCATGTCATGCACGAATATCAACCCCCAATGCACAGTTAGGCCTGCCTGAGCTTCAGCTTGGAGTAATTCCTGGGTTTGGAGGTATGCTTGTTTGATTTGAATGGGACTTTTATGTTATTAAGCTGACCAATGCTTTAGAGTCTCAACAATTGTGTGGAGTTTTAAATTACAAAGTTTGACAATTTTGCAGTCTTCTTTTCTTTTTCCCATCAAGGCAGAGGCTTAGTTGGGGAAAGTGAAAGGGTAATCAACAACATCCTTCCTTATTTGTAAAGGGCGCTGTTGCCTAATTTGAATCAAAAAATGTATGGGCACGAATCTCTTTGGCATTGGGCATGGACCATTGGGCTAAACTGACTATCCAATCTAGACCTATTTTTCATCTCTTCAAAATTGAAAAACGTGTCTGTTGTGGATGCATAATCATTAAGATATGATAACTTCATTTTGAATGACTCATTGGCAATATTTGTAGTCTGCTTTAATTGAGGTCAATAAAAATCTCCCCTCTATATTACTAATCCCATGCTACTTAATTGTCTTAGGGACACAGCGGCTTCCACGCCTTGTCGGTCTGACAAAGTCCCTTGAAATGATGCTGGTATGTTGTGGCTTGGTTCACTCTGCATGAATCTGATTTTGGTATAATGTTATACGGTTAGCATCTTTATCACTCTCTCTCTGTCTGGTCACCCTTCTCATGCCCAAACAGACATCAAAGCCAGTTAAAGGAGAAGAAGCTCATGCCTTAGGTCTTGTCGATGCTGTTGTTTCACCTGATGAAGTAGTAAAAACTGCACGTTGCTGGGCTCTAGATATTTTAGCACGAAGAAAACCATGGGTTTCTAGCCTTTACAAGACTGATAAATTGGAGCCCCTTGGAGAAGCAAGAGAAATACTTAAATTTGCAAGAGCTCAGGCCCGCAAGAGGGCTCCAAATCTAAAACATCCCTTAGTTTGCATTGATGTTATTGAAGAAGGCATAGTTTCCAGTCCTAGGGCTGGGTTATGGAAGGTCTTTATTTATCTCCAATACTGTTTCTAATGTGCTTTCACTTCAAAAAGCACCGCAACTAACATGCAACATTTAATGCTATTTTTGGTATTGGCAGGAGGCTGAAGCTTTCCAAGGATTGTTACATTCTGACACCTGCAAGAGCTTAGTCCATTTTTTCTTTGCTTACCGTGGAACAACAAAGGTTTGAACAATAATTTATTGAAAAATGTTTTGCATCAATCTCAAACTTATGAGTAATGGGCCTCAAATTTGCTGATTGATTATAATTTTAATTAGATTTTTAGATTTCTCCTCTTAATTTTGATAACAAAAGCCTACAGCCTATTTTCTTTTGCATGTTGCCTAGTCTAGCCTGAAATGAGTAAACGGGTGATGAATAAATTTAAGGATGTAATGTAGCAAGGTTGCATTTTTTAATTTTTGAAAGTCTTTTTCTGACTCAATGTTATGACTAGTTGGATTAGTTATTAATTGATTATGGATTGAAACAGTTGCTACAATTGATATGGTTTAAGCAGATGTGATTATTATAATGTCCAAGGATGTCTGAATACTGGACAGGTTCCTGGGATCACTGATCGCGGTCTGGTACCAAGACGAGTGAATAAGGTTGCTATACTTGGTGGAGGTTTAATGGGCTCTGGGATAGCAACTGCATTGATTCTTAGTAATTATCCAGTGATACTGAAAGAAGTAAATGAGAAGTTTTTGGAGGCTGGGATTGGTAGAGTCAAAGGTGAGGAGAGATCCTGTGTTTGCACTTGTCTTTGTATATGATTTTCTTCAACAAGCTATACCTATGTGTTTGTAAAATGTTTTCCTTTTTCTGTCAGCTAATCTACAGAGCCGTGTCAAGAAAGGGAAAATGACTCAAGAGAAGTTTGGAAAAACCTTTTCATTGCTTAGGGGTGTTCTTGACTATGAAAGCTTTAAAGATGTGGACATGGTTATAGAGGTAGTTAAAAATATATGGTACTCTACTTGAATTTAAAAAAAAACAAAAAAGAAGAAGAAGAAGAATATACATTACTCTCTAATGTTACTGTCCTTTACCATTGACAAAGTTAGTCTTCATCGTTTGCTCATAATGCTTGGACAGGCTGTTATTGAGAATGTTTCTTTGAAGCAACAAATATTTGCTGATCTTGAGAAGTACTGTCCATCACATTGCATACTTGCAAGTAATACTTCCACAATTGACTTGAACTTGATTGGGGAGAGGACCAAATCCCAAGATCGAATTATTGGGGCCCATTTCTTTAGGTTGTAATCTTTCTACACTGTTCTCAATATCACTTTTCCTTTCATGGTTGAACTTCTGACTTATCTTTCTTATGCAGTCCGGCTCATGTTATGCCACTCTTGGAAATTGTTCGTACCAAGCACACATCCCCTCAAGTAATTGTTGATTTACTTGATGTTGGGAAGAAGATTAAAAAGACTCCAATTGTAGTAGGAAATTGCACAGGATTTGCAGTCAATAGAATGTTCTTCCCTTATACACAAGCTGCCATGCTGCTCGTGGAACATGGTACAGATCTTTATCAGATTGATAAGGCAGTTATCAAGTTTGGAATGCCAATGGGTCCATTCAGGTACTTAGTTCATTGGAAAGGTTCATTCTTGTGATTTTGCTTGTGCACTTGTTGCTTAAACTTTAGTGGGTTGTTGCTTTAACTGGAACCACACTGACTGACTCATGTAGATTGGCTGACTTGGTTGGTTTTGGGGTTGGAATTGCCACTGCTATGCAATTTATTGAGAACTTTCCTGAGCGAACTTATAAATCAATGATTATCCCTCTCATGCAAGAGGATAAGAGGGCAGGTAAGTTTTTGTTGTTAAACTGTTTCAGTGACCAAATAGTCTCTTCAAGTCCTCATTGTTTATAATGTACTCACTTATCTCAGGTGAAGCTACTGGGAAGGGGTTTTATTTGTATGATGATAAACGCAAAGCTAGTCCAGATCCTGAACTAAAGAATTACATTGAGAAGGCGAGGAGCATTTCTGGTGTATCCATTGACCCTAAGGTCTCTCTTACCTGTCCATAACTACTAGGTTTAGCATCCTACCTGTTTTAATCTGTTAGGTGCTATGATTGGAACTAATATTTTGAAGTACAATATATTGATTATTGATATCTTAAATAGTGGAAAGTACCATATTAACAAAATGTGACTTTGGAACTCTCCCTCTCTCATTTTTGTGGGATTACACTTGGATGCAGTTTGTGAAATTATCAGAAAAGGACATTATTGAGATGGTATTCTTTCCAGTGGTGAATGAGGCTTGTCGAGTTTTTGCTGAAGGAATAGCAGTCAAAGCAGCAGATCTTGACATTGCATCTGTTATGGGCATGGGTTTTCCACCATACAGGTTTGTGATTTTATGACTTTTTTAAGTCCTGCTTAAGCTCCATGATTTTCTTTCCTTTTTCTGATGGGAAGCTCCATGAATTTCTTTCTTTAATTGATTGTGGCAATATTTATCAGGGGAGGAATCATGTTTTGGGCGGATTCCTATGGATCAAAGTATATTTATTCAAGATTGGATGAATGGTCAAGGATGTATGGAGAGTTTTTCGAGCCCTGTGCCTTCTTGGCTGAAAGAGCTGCCAAGGGGTCTCCTCTGGTAAGAAACCTACAACTTTTTATGGTGACTGCTTCATGTTAACCATGAAAACAAAACATTATTATCTGCTGCATTATAAGCTGTTCAGGTCTCAGTATTGGTTTTCTCTGGCACAAATCTTCTACTAGGAAGTTAGTGCAATTATAAAAATTATAACTGATTCTTTTTGAGTTATGAAATGGCCTCAAGGTAATATGATAGAGCATATTAATACTGGCAAATCTTTGGGCAGTGCCTTATGCACTGATGGACCTGGGCAGATCTTTATGAAAACACCTAGTTCAGATTAATCAACCTCAAACAAGAATCCTTGAAAATAAGAAAAAAAGCCTCTAAATGAACATATGCATTTTCTGTGGTAGAAAAGAAGTTGGCTTGTTTTACCAAAGCCAAATACCTGCTTCCTGCTATTATGCTACTCTAATTGCTACTCTAATGATGTCGTGTGCTGTTCAATTCCAGAGTGCACCAGTGGAGCACGCTAAATCTCGATTATAAGAGTGCATAAGATTGCTTTCCTTATTGCACCACCAACCACCCAGGGGTTCCTTCTTAAAACTTCTTTCCTAGTGCTGGATAGATGGGTCAGGATAAGCTGAATAATGTTATGAATTGGAAATTTAGCGAGACAACATGGTCAAGAAATGAGATGAGACATTATTGGCAAACAATGAACATCTTCCCTCCTAGTAGAGCACATCTTGTCTTATTGCTATTTCATGATATCGGTAAATTCTTCATACAATGATTATCCATGTGATACATCTTTAGGCAATGTGCTTTATCATTATAGTGAGACAAGGAGTAGTGCTACCGACTTACTTTTGGCCATGCGTTTTATAATTATAGTGACTGGCTGATACTTTTTTTTTTTTTTTCTTTTTTGTATTTTTTATTGGGTAATAAGTGTCAACCTCTCCAAACTTGTTTTTATGCACTTTTGAAACTAATTCTCCTTGATCAAGCATAAGGGGGTGTATCTTTTATATTAAGGCATATTTTAAAAAATTAATTTTTTTAAACGTTGGCTTTAACATTTTTTTTCCTTACACTTTTCTTTTTAACACTTTATAATATTGATTCATATGATAAGTATTTCTCTATCATTGATTCATATGTGCGTGAGATATTCCTTCTATTCCACCCTGCACAAGTAGCGATGGATATCAATGAATCATTAAGGCGACGAATATAAACCCTTGTAGAGCCTGCTAATAAAATTCACAGATTTTTTAGTACCAGTGTTAGTGTTTTCAATAAGGGAAGTAGGAGGCCCATTTTTTATAGATAGATGACCAACCAAAAATTATCTGGCAATTGACGTAATTACAAGGGAAGTAGGAGATCTTTTCTTTCGGAAAAAAAATTATATGGTCAGAAGAATGTGAAAATGAAAGAAAAGACAAGTAATGGGCCAGTATTGGATTTGCAAGTGGGAAGAACCATGTGAGTCATGCCCCTAAATTTAAGAAGTGTGGGGTAGCTGAGACACATCAAACCATTTAGGGTCTAAAACGACTGTGAAAACGTTATTTTTCTAATTAAGAAAATGAGGTGAAAACTAGATAATCTGTGCCTCGGATATTTTCAATCAATAATTTTGAAATATTACAGCACATTTTGTACTTTACAAAATTGTATAATAGAGATTTTTAAATAAAAGATAAGTCTTTTAATATATAAATTATTTTTTTTATAAAAATTTTTATTTTATAATTTAATATAATTTAAAACCTAAAACATAATATTCTAATAATTTAAATGATCAGAATTCAAAATTTGCAGATCTCCAAACGTACCATCCACCACATAAGATGTTTCAAGATCTTTTCCTGACAATGTATCACTGTACCTATACTTCATTATCAATAAAAATGAAAACTTTGAAAAAAAAAAAAGCATCAATAGCTAACAAATGTAGTTTATATATCCAAATATGAATTTTTTTAATTCCCCATTATTCAAAGGCTTAAATGTCACTTTCAGAAGAAATTGTGATCCTTGGGATGTTTGAAAGTCCACAAGAGGAGACCACAAGAGATGTTAACAACATATCTACCCTATAAAATAACTGTAGTAGTAAATCCATAATTACTGTGAAGATAAGAATGAATGCATATTCATTGAGGACGTTTGTAATATCACTTTCATGACATTGAATGCATGCATAAAGAGTTAAAAAAGTTATTATCATTTCTGTTAATATGGATATTTTTTTATTATTTCATGCACACTTTGAAGAAATTAATGTTTTATAAATGATTTTAAGGGTACACTCTACATATTCAAGAATGACTTTAAAAAAAAAATTTACAACATTTTCTCATTTTTTAACTCACCATATTTACTTATCATACTACTTAACCAAAATTTCTTCACATAGAGAAAATATATTACTAGATTACTTAATTCATTAGCAATGGCTTTTTGATACAAGAAAAAAAAAATCAATTAACAAATTTGGTTCCTACATACAATTGTTTAAGATTTCAATTATTTTTGTTTTAAAAGAAATGGAGCATTTCTTTACAAGTATCATGATTCTATATTCTCTTATTAAAAGGAAGGAAATTTATTGGAATTAAAAATTCAAACCTTAAAGAGAAAAAATGATATACAGTCCATCCTATATAGATTATACATATTATCCTTATTTATAATAAACAGCCTATTAATATTAAGGTAATCCTTACCTCATCAATAACTAAAAACATGGGCAGTCCAGGACAAAGAATTTTGGATGTAGATATATGCAGAGCAATATGGAATAAAATTTTGTCAAGAAAGGTGGGCTTTTCACATGGAGAATGTTCTTGGATAGGTTGCCAACCCAGAAAAATTTTGGCGAGAAGAGGAATCTAGGTGGATGAGGGGGAGCTCATCATGTCCAGTGTGCTGTGAAGAGGACGAGGATTTGGCCCATCTCATGTTTAATTGTAGCTAGGCGCATAATTATAAAAAGTTTTGGAAGAAAATTTTTGCATGGTGGGGGATTCAAATTACACTAACTGATTCAACCCGCGAGGCATTTAGACAACTTTCTCAATTGTGGAAAAATGAAAAGCTAAAGGAGGTCAAGTCCTTCATGTTTACATCCATTGCCTAGCACTTATGGGGGGAATAGAAATAGAAAGGACGTTTTTGATGCGACCAAGATCTCCGATAATAGGACGGTGGAATTAATTCAAACCAAATCATTTCAATGGCTTAAAGACAAGTTAAAAGCATGTGAGTTTTCTTTATATGATTAGATTTATAATCCTAATATATGGGCAAGAGTAGTAGACTTATAGTTGTTGCCTACTATTTATGAATGTTAGATATACATGAAGTATGGGTCAGAATACTACTTGTATTCTAAATTAATAAATTATATATATATATATGAGAATAAGATCTATCAGTTTTATTTTTTAAAGATTAAGAGAAAAATTATTTTAAAATTACGTCGTTTCAATAAATACCCATTGAAAAAGATTAAAATACTTTATTTTTAAAGCATTTATTAAAGTATTTTTTATTATTTTTTCTCATAATTTTTTAAAATTAAGACGGCAAGTATTAACCCTTATATATATATACACACAATTTGCAATACGCCGATAGCAATCTCAGCTTTGAATTTGAGACCAAAAGTAAACAGGTGCAGCTTTGATGATTCAGACATGAGAGGGATACAGATAAGCATTGAACCTTGCAAAGCCTACCGAAAGAATTCAATGCACATTTTATAGTAGCATTTCTCTTGCTTTATAGCTGGAAATCTCGGAAAAAATCAGTTTAGTTGGGGATGGTGAACTTGATTCTAATCCCCCACATGGGTCATTACTCATGACATCTGAATTTTATAACATAAAATATAGTACACATCAATCTATAAATTGGTAAACTAACTTTGAGTACATATGAAGAAGATCTACCGGCCTAATGGTTTAATAACTTAATGTAAACCTTATTTATTATAGTAAAAATTCGATCCCGTCTCTCATCTCCCGTCCCCCGTCCCACTTGCCCTAATAAAAAAAAAAACTTTGAGTACATATATATATATATTTTAGTGTCAATTAGGGATTTTTGTTTATCTCTAATACAGAGCAAAATATTACCGTTTCATTAATCACAATCATTTAATCAAATATCAAAACCTTGATGTGAATGTATAATAATTTATATATTTTATATATCGAGTGGAAAAAAATATAAATTATAATTATTTTTACATATAATTAATCCTGAGATTATATAATAAGATGATTAAATTGTGTGTGAAGCATTTTGTTTAGGAAAAAGATATGGATACACTCCAAACCAGCACAGCTAAGGATACCCTTCCGGTTCAATTGTAAATAAATAATTTAATGCTATTTGGAAGCTATGTAGAAGTTATCCTCACTTATTACCAAACAGATTTGGAAATAAGTCCCTCCCCTATTCATCTTCTTCCCCATGAACCCAACACCTTTCCAATACCTTTCTTCCATCCATTTGTTACTACATTTTTCACACTTTTCCAAAACCTTTCTTTTACCCATTTTTTACTACATTTCTCACACGAACCCAGGGAAATTGTGGGGCCGATATCTTCTTTCACTACAAGAAAATTCACATTTAGTGACTAAATTATTTATTATTAAATCTTCATTTCTTGTCACAAATTATTATTAGTGATAAAATTTAAACCGTTAATAAAACCCTTGTCATTAATGTTCTTAGTGACAAATTAGGTACCTGTCACAGGAAATAATTTTATAGTGATAAAAAAATTGATATTGTTAACAACTTATTTATAACAATTTTATTTGTCACAAAAAAATATTCATCACAAATGTAATTATGATGCAAAATTTAGTCATTAATTATTAAAATTGATATTAAATAAAAAAAGATATTTATATAATTACAACACAAATATTTTAACAAAAATTTTGTCACAAAAAAATAATATATAAATTTATCACAAACGTTTAATAAAAAATATTATTATTTTAATACTAATCAATTTTGATTAAAATTAATAAAGCCCAATTAAAATTAATAAAGCCCAATTAAAATTAATCAGGCCCAAACTAATCTCAAGTTTTATTGAGTTTCACATGTTTTATAGTGTAAAAATTTATTTTTTTAAATATTTCTTATTAATGTGGGATATATTTATAGTGCAAAATTTTATTCTCTTATGTGTTTTTTATCGATGTGGGATGCATTGATTAGAGAAAATTGACAGTTTTTAGTGATGAAATATATTTTTTAGTGATAAATTATTTGGTCATCATTGAATATGTAAGGTATATGTGACCATTATTAGAATTTTGTCATAATTGTAATGCATTATAGTGATGATTTTTATCGACAAAAACTTATTTTATCTCTATGAACATTTTTCAGTGACGAAATATATTTTTTATGATGAATTTTTTTGTTCATCATTAAACATGTATGCATATGTGATTAATTTTTTAGATTTGTCACAATTATGATAAGTTATAGTGATGATTTCAAAATTCATCACAAATTTCTATCACCAAAAATTATTTTTCTTGTAGTGTTTGCGTATTTGAACAATCTTTTAGAGGGTTGTAAATGGAAGAGATGGAGAAGCAGATCCAATCGTCATCATCTCACAAGCTGGCCAATTAGGTGACGAGGATTTAGGCAAATTCAAGCACCAAGTTGAGCAGATTCAAAGAATCATACCATAAGAGGTCCATTAAAATTATAGATCCAACATCCCTTGTTATGGGTCTCTCAAGTTTCTCAATTTGTTCCATTGAATTAATAGATCTTCCTATGCCACCATGCATACAAATAATTTTCTTCTCAATTAGTGCAGCAAGTGGTAGACTGTTGGAGTGTTGATTGAACCGTGTCCATGCCCATATCCCGTCATTCTCCCCCTACAAATATATTCATCATATCATTTTATTTTCCCACAACAAAGAAATTAAATCACAAATTGAATATATGCCATATTGATCCCACCATTCTCTCAAGCAAGTTGAGATTTAAAATCAAAATGACAGAAAAGAACACGGAAATTAAACCCATACTTTCTTCACATACTCCTCAACTGACAAGCCCAACACGCCATACTTGCTTACATGGAAGGATTCAAAGCCAATGATCACAATCAACCACACCTACTTCTCCCTATCTTCAATCAAAGTATTAACGTCCAAACCAAAAGGAGAGGACCAGAAAGTTCGATGCTCTTCTCTTTCTTCTAGGGGAAGACACATGATTCTAGCTTGTTTGGGAATGAGAATAGACATTTTTTTACGAGAATAGCTAAGCACTAGAGCAGTGTTTTGAAAACCAACTTGGAGGTCAAACCGTTTTGACCTCTGTTTTTTGATTTGATTGGTTTAATTGATTAAATTGTTCAAACCACCGATTTATTCAAATATGAATAAACATAATATTATGCAGTCATAAAACAATAAGCAATCGGTGGTTCTAATGGTAACTTCTTGTGCCTAAGTGTAAGGGAGTTGGTGATTCTAATGGTAACTTGCTGTGTCTAAGTCTAAGGGAGGCAACAAGTTGTAGGTTCAAGTGTCATAGATGTCAAAATTTGATTATCAGGTTTTTAGCTTATAACTTATAATATATTAATAGTTTTTATTGTACATAAATTAAAAATATAATAAATGTAACTTTTTTAATTA